CTTCATATGATAAATAGGAAAGAATTATCCTCACTCATTTATCTCTTATCAGTTATAAATTGATAACTAACAAATGAGAATGGTCCCTACTCAACACTTATACCACTGAAAGAATGAAGCAGGCTGGTTTTGAATAATTTATGAGTTATATGCATGATTTCAGAATTGTTGTAAGTAGTTTAATTTTTAGTTTTGTTCTGATAAGAGTTTCTAAAAATAGTGTTTGCACAGAAATTCTGCATAAGAACTAATTCATGTGTTTCGAACATTGTTTTGTGCATGCTTTTTTCAGTAGTGCATGAACTCCAGAGTTAAATGTCTGCTAGTGTTTGTTTTATTTTAGCCTCCAGTTTTTTCAACACCAAGAAACAAAAAAAGGTGACAGGCTTTTCATACAGAAATTTTTAAAAAAAGCACAAGAGGAAAATGTGAAGAATTCACCTATCCGCACTTTGAAGGTAACTCAATTCTGCAGATAATTGGTAGTTTACTGTATATAATTCTTTACAATATAATTATTTTGCATTATGAGCAAGGTGATTTATTATTACGTTAACATAGATATAGTGATTATTATGCTAACATATTTACAATTATTATAGTGTTAACATATTTACAATGATTAATATGGGTTCTATGATTACATTAATGAGTAGTATGAAATAAAAAAGTGCATTAATTTGTTCAAATGACAGACTATTTTAGTTTAATTGACTGATATAGTTTGTTTGCAACATTTTCAGGTATTAGTCAGAGAAAAAATAATGGAGTATTTTTTCTAATTGGATTATTGAAAATTTCTTCTTTTTATTTCAGTCAAGTAAATAATAATAACTAAAAGAAACCATAAATTCAAAGTAAAACCATTACTAATCTCAAATCATTTTTAAAATAATTTTTTGGAATATTGAAATTTTCTGAGAGATCAATCATAAAAATTCTGTTAACTTCCTTGATAATTACCTGATATTCACTTGTTCTTTGACCAAACAATTTTAAACTTTTTTAAAGAGGATTTTCAGTGTTATTCACTTATCACTTTGAAACCATTCATTACTCTCATATCCTGAGCTTTATTTTTGTGATTTAAAAGTCACATGTGTATGTCGTTGATATATATATATAACTTAATTGCAGGCTATCAGCCAAGTCACAAGAAGTTTTTTTCTTACAGAAAAGGTATGCATTTTGCATTAAAAATAGTAGATTAAGTAGAAGAATTTGCAAAACTAAAAGTTGATAAGAAATATAAATAAAATTCCATAACTAAATTTGTTCAAATTATATCAATAAAAAAAATTAAAATAGCAAAATATAATTTGTAAATTGAGATTCAAATAGCATAATATAATTTGTAAATTGAGATTCAATGTGAAAAAATAAAAATTAACAAACAAAACTAAACGTTTAACCCTTAACACTCCACTGGCAACATCACATTAATTTGAATTTTAAAATTTATATTTAGTAACCACTTTACTGCATGATTTTTTGTTAATATATGGAAAGATTGTATTTAATATTTTAATAATTTTTTTTTGTATTTTCATTTATTTAATTAATATGTTTAAAGTACTTGGGAGTGTGAAGGATTGATTCAAAATTAAGTAGCTAATAAACATATACATTGAATTATATATGCACTGCACATAAATTTTTATACTATAATCTAACCAATATGTATATTCTTTTTAAAAGTAATATCTCATTCACAAGACAGATTTCTGAAAAACATATATTTTTAGCACAAATATGGCACTAAACTAAACATACCATTAAAAAGCAAATAAATAATCATAGTTAATACACTCAGAAATAGTTTAGGACTCAAAATATAGGAGTCTGAAAATTTCAGAGACAGGTGTTTGCACACAGTAGGAAAGAGTCTGACACATTAAAAATTGTAATAATTATTAAGTAGCAAAGATTTACGGAAATTTTATGCAAGTAATTTTATAAACAATATAATTTACCATAATTATAAATTAAAACATCTACAGAATTTTCAACTAGAGTTTTTAAGTATAAAAGTAAGCATTTTAAGTATTACTCTGAATTCCATACCAGAAGAATTATATTGAATGATTAAATGTATATGAATTTTAAAATAAAACTGAAAATGCATATTAATCACATAAATGCTTACCCTTAACTGAGTTCATGACAGCATTATTTGTTTCCCCAGTCCTTCCTCTATCCCTCTTTAGTAGAGAAAACACTGGGGATTTTTGGAATATTAGTGATTCTTAAATAATCCATAAGTGATTCTGTTTTGACATACTTGAATGTCAAAACAGAATCACTATTACAGATTCAATATTTCAAGTATAAAGTAAGCATTATAATTCCGTAACAGAATAATTAGATTGAAAGATTAAATGTATAATGAATATTAAAATAAAACTGAAAATATGCATTACTCTCTTAAATGTTGACGGTGAGTTCATTATTTGTTTCACCAGTTCATTTTCTATATTTTTTTTACAAAGAAAACTCTGGAAATGTTTTGATTATGAGTGATCTTTAAACAATCCATTAGTGATTTTGTTCTGACATATTTCTTGAATGACAGTACCACGATTGCCAGGTGGAGTTGCAAAATACTTCATTTGCAATTCGGAATATTTTTCAGTAGCATGTATGATGTCACGATATTTCCAATCAGCCCAATTATTATTGAAAAGCTCTAAAAGTTTCAATCTTTGTTCTTTTGAGGGTACAACATCTAATGGGGGAATTCTAACCAAATCAGGACAACGTAAATTTTCGAAAATGACAACTGCGCGAAGGGCAAACCAGCCACCATATTTTGGGTGAATACAAACTCCAAAAACCTAAAGAAATTATTTTTAAGTTCAGAAATATGAAATATTGGTTAAAAAATATTGTTAGAAACAAATCTACAAATAAAGAATTATTTTAGAACTATAAAACACATCTACATGCAGACATGGTTGGGATTTTGACATTACAAGCAACTAAAACTGGTTAAAACTTAAAAACTATAAAAATTGGCAAAAGCTTAGAATGATAATCACAATGCACCTAAAATTTCACTTGGTCTATTTAAAACAATAAATTAATATGCACGAATATATGCTGATATATGGTGATGATAATATATCAGAGCTTTATTGCTAGTTAATATAATTAACAATTAATATAATTAATAATTATATTAAAGTAGCAGTTAAAGTTCTGAATAGAATAATGCAATTATTATTTCAATTTAAATATTAAGATTGAAATTTTAAAAAAAATGGTGGGAATTTTTTTTTAATAGTACTGTGCCATAATTGTGTTAACTTTCACTGTAAAGTATTAACTGTTTAAATGCCTAATTATAACACTAAATTAATTCAAAAAACAGACAAATGAAGTGTTTAAAGAAAAATAAGATTTTAAAAGAAAGTATAAAGTTTTACTAAAACTAAAATAGGTAATCAATCTGGAAAATCTGCATTATCAGCATTTTAATATGGAAACTGGTTTCTTATGTAGAAAAGCAACTGGTTTAAATGATGAGAAATTAATCAACCCACTGTCTTGCAAACTTTTATTAAACGCATGGGTTTGTTGTCTCATTCTTATTACACTTAAGAGATAAATAATGAAAATAATAAATTAACAAATATAAATAATAGCAATAATTTTCTATAACTACTTTCTGTATTTTTAACGTAAAATATAGAAAGTAGTTATAGAAAACAGCTATAGATAGCTATCTATACAGGAAGTAGTTATAGATAGTGTTAGATTCATTTCTTATAATAAGTTCCCAAATTTAAATTCACAACTTTGAAAATTACATATACAAGAATACCAGTTTAATTTTCTTATTAGAACACTAAATTTATATGCTTGCAATTATGTGAAACAGGATCTTTATTAGAGTAAAATTATTGCCTAAAATTAAATTAATGAAAAAGGATCACAGTAGTCAACAGCATGGAAAAGTTACCAACTTTGCAGAAACATGTTTCACTAAAAATATGTTTTTTTTTTATAAAATTAATAATAAGTTGTCTAGAAAGAAAATGTCAGATTCTGAGAATCTGACAGGTTCAAAAGATTTATTTCTATCTAATTTTTGTAATTTTGCTTATTTGTGTTTGAACATTTAAAATTTAATTGCCTCCATTTGAGGAAAATACATGAGAAATAAGTTATGAATTGTAAGTAATGAAATAAGTTATTAGATTTGCATAACATATCACACTTGTTCTCATTTACAAGAGGATATTGATTTGATTCATTTGTTTTATAAGTCAGCGTTCATAGCCAAATTATTCAACAAAAAATAAGCACTTTTCAAGCACTCAAAAAATATTTTTAAGCACTTTGAAAAATATCATAATTAGGCAGGGTTGGAAAGTTTTTCACAATTGATGGTTTTATATTGTTTTATCCGACATGTCAAAAAAAAAAAATTTGGCCTTGTTTTTGACAATTGTCAAAAATCACAAAATTTTGAATAATGTAAAACGAATTTCATACGCTACGAACTGACAATACGCCCAAATAGATTGGGATTGAATTAATTGTGAAAATGTTGAATAGAACAATGTGAACTGCGTCTTTTTGCATAATTCGGAGCGAAAATCAACATGGCAAAGGAAAAATCTGATTTTGAAAAAGGGAAAATTAAGCACTTTTTAAAAACACCCATTGAAAAAAGTACTTTTAAGGGCATTTAAAAAATGGAAATAAGCACCCTTAAGCACTTTTTAAAAATGCTACACACCCTGTAAATCATAAGATAGAACTCAGTAGTTATTGTATATATAAAAAAAAAAGAAATATGGAAAATATTTAGGAGCACAACATGTCTTAACATACATTTTTCAAAGACATGTTGCGTCACATAAATGTATTCAAAACTTGCTGCACTTATAATATCTGATAAGACACAATAACTTTATTATTCTACAATCAAAAAAGTAAAATAGTTCACAAAATAATGGTTAAAAAGTAATGACATAGCTATAAGTAATTCTTACTTTTTTAGAGTTTTCTTGTTGACCAATTACTTGAGGATGATAAAAGTATGCAGCACCCGAAGCATGAGCAACAGTTTGCATTACTATTTTTGGTCTTCTATTAGGATGAAGTTCAAAATCATACACAATTTTTGCTCCAAAATTTGGAAAAAACTAAAAGAAAATATGTATTTGGATTAAGTAAAAATTATTCAAATAGAGTTGTGAAAAATATTTAATTTCCAAGTTAAAATAATCTTAAAACAACTTTAAATAAATAAAAATCAAAATGTAACATCTGTTATTAAAGTTCTTGTAAGACTTTGAATTTTGATAAACTAACTAAATTCTACAGTATCAATTTAAAACAATAGGTTTTAAAAAAAGATGTTGCTTTAAACAATAAAGAAAGAATGTTGTAAGCTCTTTAGTCATTTATACTTCCAGATTAGTATTATCTTTATCTCTAAGTATGAATTACTGTGAATCTTATAAAATAATTAACATTGAAAAGAGAGGCAAAAAATAGTTTTACAAAAATTGAAGAAGTATAGTATCACTACAAAAACAGGATTAACAATGAAAGTAAAAATGCATTTAGTGTGAATAAAATATCAAATGCAGTAGGACTTTGATTATATGAAGTAATTGGGATTAAACCTACTACAATTAGTTGAAATATTCAGATTATAAAAGTAACTTCTTATTTTAAGATATTTTACCTAATAAAGTCTGCAAATTGTGCAGTTTTTAATAATAGAGCTATATAGTACATTTAAATTTTATACGAACATAAAAAAATGTCTTTTGTCAAATAGGTATAAGGAAATTTTAAAATTCACTTGTTCATTTTACTCATATGATGGAAAAGTAAAAAAAAATTCTAAATATAAACTAAAGAAATAAAGATTTATAAGGAACTTATCAGAATTAATAATACAAAATGACAAATACAGCATCACTTAAATTTTTTTATTTTCAATCCTAACTTATTGGAAATTCAGTCCTGAATCCAAAAATCTGATTGTTTTTTTCAATAAATGTCTATTGATTTAAATATTAAAAATTAAATTTCCCGAAAAGGTCTCCATAAGAATGCAATAAAAAACGATCCCTGATTAGTTATGATTAACATTCAAAATGAAATCTTCAAAATGAATTTGAAATATACTTCAAAATTAAGATTAACACAGTTAAAAAAATGAAGATGAAAATTATTTCATACTTATAACATGTCATTTAAATAACTCATTCTAGCACCTTTTTTACTGAACTTATCTTAATTATTCAGAACTAAAAAATTTCATCTACTATTAACAATTTTTAAATCTACTATTAACAATATTATAAAAATACATTATATTAAGCACACATTTTAATTAACATTAGGGCACAATCTATTATACATATCTTTGTTCTCACATTGTTATTTACTATATAAAATAATTGGAATTAATTACGAAACTTCAAATGAAGGGAAGAACGTAATGGCTATCACAAGACGACTGTAAATGAACAGAAGACAGGGCCAATTTTTCAACAAAAAATAAGCATCGTTTAAGCTCAAAAAACATTTTTAAGCATTTGGAAAAATATCACAATTAGATAGGGTTGGCAAGTTTTTGACAATTGATGGTTTTATTTACAGTGACGAAGACTATAGCTCATCACAAACTATGAAATTATCAAGAGAAATGAAATTTTCTATAGCTAATAGAAAGAAAAAAATTACAATGTTTAGTTGGTCCCCGTAATCAGCAAACATTCGAGAGATTTTTCGATTCTATTACAGAGGGAGGAAAATGAAGCCTGAAACTGAGAATCTCTTGCAAAATGCAGCAGGGTTGCACACAAGAGTAAAAAATCCTTACCACTTCATCCAGCTCAGTATACGCAAGAATTTCATCAAACATGTAAAACAAATGGTGTTTACGTGCACTACAGCGGTACGCCGAAATATATCGGTTTTGAATTAATTGTGAAAGAATTGAATAGGTCAATGTCTTTTTGCCTAATTTGTGGTGAAAATCAACACGGTAAAGAAAAATATCACATTTTGGAAAAGGGAAAATTAAGCACTTTTTAAAAACACCCATGGAAAAAAAGCATCTTTAAAAAACAAAAGTAAAAAATAAGCACCTTTAAGCACTTTTTAAAAATGCTATGCAACCTGGAAGATGGACATCGGTGACGTCAGTACACAAATAATCACGTGATTACTCGTTTCAGGTGAAAACGAAAGTAAGCGCTTTTTGCAGAAAAATAACTTAATAATTAGCACTCTTATAAAAGTATTAAAATGTTTTCTGGGAGTGCATTAAAGCTGAATGAATTTTTAAAAAAATTTACTGCAATTGTCCATTACAGGGGTGTTTGTGGGACCCCAAAAATTCCCCTGAAACTTTTACGGACTTACTACCGACATTTTGGAGTTTCGAGAAGGCGGGGGGGAGAAATGAAAAATTACAATTATGAAGTATTGAATTATAAAATAATTCTGAATAATAATGAATTATAAAATAATAAGTAATTAATTATAAAAGTTCAATGAATTACTTTTTTTGCAAAATTAATAACCATAAATTTTCAAACATATAAACTACTACATTTTATGTAAATATTTTAAATTACCTGAATTAATTCTTTAAAAAAAATTATCTAATTTCTGCTGCTTTTTTTAATTTTTTGATGTTTGTGGGCTTGTCTTTCTTTTGTGGTGAACTTCATAATTGCAGGAAGGTTGACTTTTATTTTCCTCATTTACAGTTAAAGAAATTTCCTCGAGAACTGCACATGCAGAGGTAGAAGCAGTTTGCTTTTCTGCTAATGTAGANCAGAAAAAAATTTACGTTATGAAACTCAATTAATTCTTATCTTTATTAAATGAAATGAATAAAAGGGAGATGGAAAGTTTGAAGTTATGAAGCTTTGTGATTCTCGACTGTCCTGAGGATCAACATGAAAATATGTACTTAGTGAATGGTCCCCTAGTTAATTCAAAGATCATGGTACTAATCTATAAATAGAATAGCGCAAGAAGGTCATTAGCTTGCCATTGACGAAGACGATGGCACTTCAATAACGATGAAATCAACAAGAGAAAAAAAATTTCTTATGCTATTGAAATTTGGCAATGTTTAGTTGGTCCCCGAAATTTTTTTGGCGCAGATTCGGCGCAAATTTAACATAAAATGCCGTTTCTGCGCAGTAATGCGCAAATATACCGGTTTGGCGCAAAATGCACTGAAGCACTTGATGTAGCACTTGAAGCCCTGTAGCTTTCAAAGCAAACAAAATTACCCAGATCAAAATAAATAATTAATTATTATTCCTACTTCCTTTTCAACGACGATCCCCGGAATTTCCGGGTATCGAAGTTCAAAATCCCCGGAATTCCGGGGTTTCCCCGGAGCACAAACACCCCTGCCATTATAGCAAATTTGAATTCAAACCTTTATTTACCTAAGCAAAAACAAAATCAGCTATCTGAGAAAAACATCTTGTAATAACAGCAATTTAATTAATTTTGTGTTTAGAATCTTATTTCCATTTTTTTGGAATAAAAACAAATCCTTTACATTGAGTATTTATTTAAAAAAATCAAAATAGTTCTAAGATTTTTAACCCATGAACATAGCATTTTCACATATTTTAAGTAAGTTTTTCCTTGAATAAACTCTAGTTTCTATTTATGCTTGATGAGAAAATATCTGATAACTTACAAGCAATTATGTACTTTTTTGTTTGAAGAATAAATTTTAAATAAAATGTATAGTTTTTTAATGTCTGAATGTTAAATATAATGCTGCAAAACTTGCACGCGTTGACCACTTGGGATGAATTGCTTTATCTGTCAACTTATAAGTAAATTTTTTTAATCATTTCTTAAATCATGTCATTTTTAAATACATTATTCATGTTATTTATAGACATATTTCTTACAGATTATACAGGTTTAAAATAACTTTAAAAGTTTATTTAGCAAATATCACATACTAGAAGGAATTGCAATTTGTTAAGTAAATTCAATACTAAACTGATTAGTTTGAAAACATAATGCATGTCATTTATTCATAGTAAATAATTTTGTAAAACATCTCTACAAAAGAACATACATAATGCAAAGAGAAAACTTCACTATACTCAATTAAACATTTAGGTAATTTCTTTTTACTCTTACAAACCTACTTTTTACTTAAGCCATAAACAGTTTACCCATTGATTAAATTTACATTTTAGTTTCGGTTAGCTGTCAATACTATTTTACCACTTCAGTAAAGTTCCAGTACGTAACAGCAAAGAAAATTTGCTAGTCAACTTATGAAGAGTTTAGAACAGTATTTAGTGACTCTCCTACACAAATTTAACCTTTTCCAGTGGTCAAGTAATATAGTACAGTGAACAGGTTGTAAAGGTTCCCCTCACTTATTATACATAGTATAATTTCAGTTCTGGATATTAAAAATAAACTTAGACAGGTGTCAACTTGACAAGCTACACTACGCTATTTAAAGCAACATGGCGACAAATGCAATAACTTTTTTTAATGTAGAGAGATAAATGTTTTACATTAACTCCCCAAGCAGTGAGTTCTTGGGCAAAATGGTTTTCAAATTTACTGCTACACACTACTTTCCCATTGAATAACATAATAAAAACAAGTTTGGATGAAGATGTAGTTGTAGTTTTATTTATGCCACACTAGAGCTGCACAATGGGCTATTGGCGACGGTCTGGGAAACATCCCTGAGGATGATCCGAAGATATGCCATCTCAATTTTGATCCTCTGCAGAGGGGATGGCACTCCCGCTTCGGTAGCCCGACGACCTGCATGCGAAGTCGAGCACTTTACGGTAGATCAGTTTAACGAGGACCGATACTGAACACCCTCAATCCCTTTGAAGACCGATTCAAGTGGCCACCCACCCGTACACTGACCGCAGCCAGTGATGCTTGGATAAAGAACGAACTAGGATTCGTAATGCTAATAAAAATACCTGGATTTTTTTTTATTAGATATCATACAAAATACCGTAATAATAAGCAAAGCAATAAGATGAGAAATTTTGAAGGCACTAGTGCCTTCAAAATTTCAAGAAGGCAAAAGATTAAAATATGAATAAATTACAATCACTAATCGAAACACTTTAAGACTGTTTCACACAAAAAATTTTCATTGACAGACTTATTTACAAATTTTTTTGGAAAATTAATTGTTGAACAAAATTTAACATACAATAAATAGGTTTGTTAATAAATTTAAAAAGAATATGTAAACAGCAATAAAAGACACTAATATATTGTAAGAAAATAAATCTTCAAAACTATTTAAATTCATAAATATAATTAATTAGTTACCTGACAAATTTTAGATAAATAAAATATCATGCATTGATCAATTGGATCTCTAAGTCCAGATAAATCTCCATCTCTTTGCTTGAGAAAAGGAATAAAAGCATTTTCAAACATTCTGGGTGCACTGATAATTAAGAATGATACAGTATCATCATCATAATTAAGTTTGAATATGGGCTGGACTAAAGAATTGTACCATCCAATCTAGAAGAAAAAAAAAAAAAGAATTAATATTTAATTAAGTTTTTTAGAATAGTCATATATCAATATTGAGTCTCAGTGGCTCAGGGAAAAGAACGCTGGCCTCTCAATGAGGTGATCAAGGTTCAAACCCATTCAGTGGTCATTGCGAACTCTGCACCTGTAGCTCATACCGACCACAGTGCTGACATAAAATATAATCAAATGTAGATGGGCCACTGGTAAGAATCTTCTCGACATTGGGCTAACTGCGGGAGGTTTTCCTTTCCATTTAACGTGATTACAGATTAGTTCAATTATAAACTCTTCTATGACAGCTTGTTGGTCCCGAAGTGAGATCTAAGAAAACCCTTTTCTTCTAGATGGGTTTCAAAAATAATTGGCTACTGAGTTAAACAATGATAGTCATAGTCATAAGCTCAGAATTGGGCCGGCTTTACAATGACAGTTATAAATAAAATAAAATTAAATAAATTAATATTTGAAAATATGAAGTGATAAAACAGAGCAAGTACCTTTACTTTTTATTTAATTGAGAATATAAAGTTCAATAATTTTTTTGTTTTAATAAATGAATCATATTATTTAATTTAAACAAAATTATTAATATTTGAAATAGTCATTCTAAATTAAAAACATTGCAGGAAAGATTGACAGTCTAATTACTATTTTGGGTCAATTACAATAATTAATTTTTGAATAGCATTCGAAAAATATAGATGTGGTCGTGATTAAATTAGCATCAAAATTACAAAGACAATTTCAAAACATGAAGCACAGTTTCATTTTCTTATGAAATTTATAAAAAGAAAGGAAATATGGTAGGTTTATTAAGTGTAAACATTATTTAATCAATAAAATACTTATGTATATCACAAATAACAGGAACTTTAAAACAAAACCCAATTTATATAGGTAGTATGTTAAACAAAATCAATAAAACACTAAAAACAGGTAATTTCTAATACACTATATATGAGCATGAATAAAAAGATTGCAGATAAAATAAAATGCTGAAAATACAAGGATTAGCATATCTTTTAATTAGTATAAAAAAATGTAACCGAGACGAATAAATTTATGATAATAGTTTATTTTAAGCTGGTATTCATTCTTATTTCTTTCCATGAACTTTAAATCCAAAAACAAAGCTGTATAAGAATGATTACATTTGTTGCAATTAAACTGATTACTTTAAAAGGTTGAAATTCAAATCCAAGTTTTCCATAATGATTTTCTAACTCCGAAAGAAGAGAAAGTATTTTATCCGGCAAAACTTCATGCTGCATGTTTACCCTCAATGATGTTTACGATTCATCCTACTTCACTAAGATCATCCTGAATTAATTTTCTTTCAGGAAATACGCACTTCAACAACGCAAAATCAATCACTCCATCTAGTAATTAGCCTGTACGATTTTCAGATATAAGAAAGTGAGTCCACATTAAAAACAAAAAGCAGCACGTTTTCTCACACAATCACAACAGATATTTTTTACTCGATGAGGAAGTGACGCATGTATTGCGGCGCTTCCGATTGGATGAGATGAAATGATGAATTAAAATTATTGACGTTTTAAAGAAACATTACAAACAATCTTCAGAGTTAAAAATTGTTTTAATTTATTTGTTTCCGATTTAATCAGCACACATCATACGAAACATGAAACAATATTGATTCAATTTAATCTGTTTTCCTTATTTTGATTTCAATGATGTTTTTGATTTGCTTTATGAAATTTTAGAATAATTAATAACGCCATCTATTGATTAAGCTTAAAAGGACTACTGTATCTTGAAATATTTGTTTGTTAAAAATAAATGGAAAATTTTATTAGATTAACAAATTAAACAACACTAATTTGACATTTTTCTTTAAAATTTAAACAAAGTATTAAGTAAAAAAAACTGAACACTTTTTAAAAATTTTATATATCTATAGTATCTACTATCAGACTATATTTCTTTTATACAATAAACATTTAGTTGACTTTCTTATTTTAGAAAGAAATATTATTAAAAATTTGATACATAAATACTTCATATAAAAAATATATGATTTTAATTTGAGTTTGATACAAACCTTCCTCAAAATAATTTGTTAAAGGAATTTAAAATGCCCTTACAAAAATTCATTATAATTATCTGATGGACAATCTAAGTAGGAAAAGTACAATTTTGTTTATAAACATTGCGAAATTTAAACTAAAAAATAATTTAAAGAAAGTGTTATAAAAATTGCAATTATTTCTATCAAGGAGTTCGCATGTAAGAGCATTTTTATTGTTACAAGTTTATAATAGATGGCAGCACTAAAATATTTGTATGATCTAGTTAAATTTAAACATTGTATTTAATTTACACATTTTACTAACTTATGATGTTGAAATATTTTTTTCGTTTTTAGAAAGTTATATACATATATGATATTTAAAAACTAATTTGCAAATTTCTCTTAACTTAATTCATTATATTTATTTAAAAAGAAAATAATAGTTAATTTTACATTTAAGGATTATAATTTTTTCTGTAATCTAAATTGTAATTTTTTATTATTTTTTTTTAAAAATTTTTTTTATTATTGAGATAAAAAAGAATGCATGGAAGCATTCGCTATTTTTCGTGTTTGCTATCACAGATTCTTGTTACTGCTGCGGATGCTAACTAGTAAACATAGATGGTAGCACTAAAGACTGTTATAAGAAATTTAGTAACAATTCTCGTTAAAGCAATTCTTTAAAAATTTTATTCTTTAATGCGATCAAATGTTCTTTCTCAGCCTATGTTGAACTACTAAATTTATTTTCAAAAGTATTTTGCTTTGCATTCAGTATTTTTACATATGAACTTTAGAAGCTGTAAAATTGAACGAAAAATGTTTAACAACTAATTAGCACTTTTTGTTAAAAAAAAAAAAAAAACTAAAATATATAAACCAATAAATACAAAAATAGAATATCGAAATAAAATACTAAAATAATAATAATAAAAATAATAATGCTACTATAAAGAGTAATACAAATAAATATGAATAATGGAAAAATTTAACATTTCTGCAATAAGAATTTTTTTCACGTAAGACACTTTTCACAAAAAAGACCCTTTCATAAGAATTATATTTCTAAAACAAAGTACACAGTACCATTTTAAAAAGAGATACGAATAAAAACAATTTAATACAAAAATATACATTTTAATTTTGCAAATAACTCTGATGGATTTTTTAACTGTCCACTGCACAAAAGAAATCTGTTCATAATAAAAATGGAAGAAAAACATTTATTTTTGAGCGTCACTTTCATAAAAATTTCATTTCAAAAGCTAAGTAGAGAGTACAATTTTAAGAAGTTACACGAAAGTAGAAAAATTATTACAAGCATTTTAAACTTTCGTGGTGAAAATAATTTGAATATATTTTTAACTACCCATTTCATTACTATACATAAGAATACTTTTCACAAAAAAAGAAGCTTATATTTGTATGATACTTTCAAGAAAGGAATAAAAAAAAAGTAATTTATAACAAAAACTTTAAATTTTAGTTGTTCAAATATTTGTGAAATTTTTTTAGGTGTCCATTGTAATTCTACACATTCGAACAATTTTCACAAAAAAGACGTCTATATTTGACTGATATTTTTATTGAAAATTTACATTCTAAATGCACGGACTCGGTACTAATGTAGCATAAAGAGAAGTGCAATTTATCGCACCAATTTTAAAGTTCAGTGTTGGAAAATAGTTCAGGAAAGTATTTTTAGAGTTCATTAAAAAGTTCACATCAGAACATTTTTCACAAAATTAGCGATTAAATTTTTAAACTTTTGTAAAAATTTACATTTCGGTAGCCAAGTTAACGGAACCATCATAAAGAGGGACATTAATAGAAATGATTCATTAAAACAATCGTAAGTTCCATGTAGCAAATATTTTAAATGTCCATTGTATCACTTTACTTTAGAACACACACACACACACACCAACATTTAACCCCGCTCCTATGCCCCTAAAAGGGCATTTATCGGTTAATGGTTAAGGTTGGAAGACGAGACAGATAGAAAAAAGAGAGGAAAAAATAGCAAATAGAAACAAAAAAGAGAAGAAAATAAAAAGAAATATGAAAAAAAAAGAAAAAAAGAAGCGGTTATTCTATTTGTTAGGGCATTTGATTAAAAAGTATCCAGAGCTAATTGGCCAAGTTTAGTTGTGGTTGTTGCTCAATATTGCATAATTTTGTCATTTTTTCAGGAAAATTATTTCAGGATTTCCTCGTATTCTTCTAGAAAATTAATGAGGTTGATTGCCTTCTGTCTCAATTTTGTATTCTTACAGATGGATCTCTTCCAGGCTATGAGGAATTCTAGCTTCGGTTGTTTAAAGTGGTAGGATGTGGTAAGCGGACATTCTATTGCATAATGCCACACTGTTCCTACTCCTCCACAGGCACATGTATTGTCAGTTGCCAGGCAGAATCGCTTTAGATACGCTTTAAAGGGGCCATGCTCTGTAAAGAAGAGGATTAGCTGCTTAACAAAGAAGTGCAAGGGATAACGTTTAACGTAAAAAAAAATCATAAAACTAGTTTCAAAATTACGCATGACTTTGCCTACGAAATAACCTTTTCTTTGTCAACGAAATGGCCTTGTCAATGAAATGATCCCGTCGACGAAATGATCTTGCCGATGAAATGACCTAGTTGGCGTAATATCGATGAAATGACCTTGTNAGTACCCGGATAATTCAGGTCTTGAATGTGAGTAAACAGTTAAATAAAAGGAAAGGATAAATTTAACATACCTCAAACATTGTGAAATAAATAGAATTATTGAGTGATAATGAAATTGAACTAACTAAAATGAACACTTAATTTGCAGATTTGGAAAATCAATAATCAGCAAAGATGGAAAATCAATAATCAGCAAAGGACGATAAAATACATAAAATACAATTGTTCTTTGATACGAAACACCAAAAGGGAATATAAGTTCAGTTTTGTTAATATATACCCGTAACTGATAATAAACACAGATAACTTGAAAAAAAAATTATAAAATAAGTAATGAAAGCAAATGTTAATAAAATGAGTAAAATTAGGTTTTAAAAGAAAATAATAAAGTTAGACTGTTATTATAAAAGATATAAGTTAATTGATCCTTACCGGACAGTACCCGGATGATTCAGGTTTTGAATATGAGTAAACAATTTGGTAAAACAAAAGGATAAATTTAACATACCTCAAACATTGTGAAATAAATAGAATTATTGAGTGATAATGAAACTGAACTAATTAAAATGAACACTTAAATTGCAGATTTGGAAAATCAATAATCAGCAAAATGGAAAATTAATAATCAGCAAAGGATGATAAAATACAATTGTTCTTTGATAGGAATCACTAAAAGGGAATATAAGTTCAGTTTTGTTAATATATACCCGTAAGTGACGATAAACACTGTTAACTTGGAAAAAAAATTTAAAAAAAAAAAAAAAAAAAACANTAAAGTAAAAAAAAAAAAAAAAAAACAATGAAAGCAATTATTAATAAAAAAAAAAAAGTAAATTTAGGTTTTAAAAAGAAAATAGAGTCAGACTGGTACCATAAAAAACATAAGCTAATTGACCCTTACCGGACAGTACCCGGATAATTCAGGTCTTGAATATGAGTAAACAATTAAAAAAGAAAGAAGGATAAATTTAACAAACCTCGAGCATTGTGAAAAAAAATAGAATTATTGAGTGATAATGAAATTGAACTAATTAAAATAAACACTTAATTTGCAAAATTAGAAGACTAAAACAAAAAAAAAGTTAAATTAAATTGAAATCCAAAACTTAGCTTAGGAGGGAAAGCTGCGATTGTTCTTGAAAAAGAAAATTGAATCAGTTTTGTTTACATTCAACTATGAGTGAGGAAAACCACAGATGTTTGAAAGAAGCCCCCGATTTCCTTCGGTGGGTGGGAAGTTGTTGACCTCTTCTGCTCCCCGAAGAGATAGACCCCGACAAGATGGGTATCGGATGACTCGCTTCCGTTCACATTGGGGTAGATATCCGTTGATTTCCTTGGTTTGTATTGAAGAGTTGAAACTTTTAGGAATTAGCCAGATATATTGAATTAATTATTTGCTCTTGTTTTCTTGAAATAGATCGGAATGCTTGGTAGAATTCTTATGGCGATGATTTGATGAAACTTTGGATGCTGATTGAATTCTAGAGGTGTTGTTGAGGTAAATCGAAATCTAGAGATCTGATTCACCGATGCCTAGCGGAACAGCTACGTTGGCCTCACGGCAGCGAGATTTGCCAATGTTCGGAATTCAAAGCTTTGATGAAAATCGAGAGAAAAAAATAACAAAAGCAATACTTTGAATACTCTAGTAAAAGATAGTTAAATTAAAGATTTTAGTTAAAGGAAAGGTTGAAAATATTTTGTCGTCAGTTGTTACAGATATCGCGAAATTATTCGTAAACGAGGAGCGCGGAAGAAACACGTCTTCTCCCTTAGGCGGGCGTAGGTTATTCCTTTACTTTAGAACATTATTCACAAAAGAACAAGTACGCTTAAATTTACATTCAGAAGTAAACTATAAGGTACCATTATAAAGAGTAAAATTAAAAACAATTTATCAAAAGAAAAAAGAAGAAAAAGTCTGAAAAATCTACAAT